ATGGCCGTGGACCACGTGTCAGGGGTGGAAAATGGCCGGGGACCACGTGTCAGGGGCGGAAAAATGGCCGTGGACCACGTGTCAGGGGTGGAAAATGGCCGGGGACCACGTGTCAGGGGCAGAAAAATGGCCGCGGACCATGTGTCAGGGGAGGAAAAATGGCCGCGGACCGTGTCACGGGAGGGAAAATGGCCACGGATCCTGTTCGTGACCTGATCCGGCGTTCGTGAACGGAGGCAAAATTTTGCGACCAGAGCTGTTCGTGACCTGAATTGGTCGTGAACAGAAGCGTTCGTGACCCGAGGCACCACTGTATAACCAACAACTTTTAAGAAAATGAATGCACTCTTTTCTCTTGTGAACAAAGACATTAAAGTACTAAGAAACCTAAATAATGTGTATAAAAGAAGGAGAATCACAGAATCCTATTCATTGTAATTGGCTTTTGTATTGCCTATGTGTGTAGAATAGACAGTTGTGGTAAATATAAATATTTGTGATTGGCTGATTCATTCATAGGGATTAGAAACGTTCTGTTTTGATGTGCTAATAATAAATTCAGAACTAGTCAAGATGAACAAGGGTAGGCTATGATGCCTGGAGAAGGTGGGTTTTTGGTGGCAAATAGAAATATTCTTCAGGATATAAATATCACATACTGTCACGACTACTGCTGCTCCTCCTGTAGTTGAAAAGTTTTATTCCAGGAGAAAATAAAACCCTGTATATGGAAATCAGATTTGATAAAATTAGGCAATAAAAAGTTGATGTAGTCTTGTAACTGTGAAATAGTTACATTGGCCAATACCTGGAAAAAATGGAATAGCGATAAATACAAGTCCTTCTACTGAATCAAATCAGTTTGTGTTTTTAAAACATGAAGTTATATGCTTCTAATAGTATTACTTTATATACATGCCCTGTATGTAATATTATACCAATATAATGCCCTGGTTTGTATTTCTGATAGGGTAAAAAGGATGTGGCTCAAATATTCAACAACATTCTGAGAAGACAAATTGGTACTAGAACACCCACAGTTGAATACATCTGTACTCAGCAAAATATATTGTTCATGCTGTTAAAAGGGTATGTATTATATTGTAAATGTGAAATGATTGTTTTTCTCATGTAAAACTAGTTTACATTTAATTTTTTTCTACCTGGGTAGGTCTGTGGTATCTCTGCTTTAATAATTAGTTGTACTTATAAAAGTTGCTATCAACTAGTTTGTACAAAGAAAGAGCTGCCGGTATTCCTGTAACTGTCTGCCGTGCTGGAAAATTCTGAACCTCAATTATTTGTTAAATACATGGAAGGACACCCCCACCTCCCCTCCAGTGGATTACACAGAAAAGCCAGTTTCTGCCAAATTCATGCATGCACTCTCTCAATAGTCTTGTCAGCACAACCATGAGGAGAAGTTTGGAAACTTTTGCATCTGTTTGTGGTTAACCACAATTTATTATGTCATCTAATCTCTGGCCAAACTATGATTAAATTTGATTAGTGGAAATAAGGTAATCACTGTTGGCTTATTTCAATAAACCGTAATGAAAAAATGGGATGTTATACTAAATTAAAATTAATGAGAAATGTGAACATACCAGCAATGTTTCCAACTTCTTCCAGTTTTCCTGCAAGAGAAGGGAATTAGAGCCTGTACTTCTGTGAAATTATTACATATTAAACTGTAGCATAGCACTGTTTTTTAATGCAGTCACTGTGTTTTAGAATCATAATTCTTCCATACCATATTTTGTAGAAGGTCATTTTAAGATTTCTCTGAAAGGCATGAGTCAAGCATTCCTGTAGAAGAATCCTCAAAAGTATCTTTGATGTTTTTGTTGTTTTGTTTTGTTTTTTTGAGATATGCTTCCCATACTTTCAATATGTGTCTTCATAAGTTGTCTTTATGTATGGAATTGTTCTCATAGTTTGCCCATGGGTTTTAATTCTGTAATTTTGTCACCTTGCTGTGCAAATTAGTCACTAAATGCTGAATATTTGTTTATCATTCACTAGGCAGACTAAAGTTTTCCACCACAATGCGCTCTATGTCTCTTGATACACAATTCATACTCTTGAAGCAACAATGAATTATTGGTACAGTTTTCTCAAATAAAGAACAATTAATTGTGTATATTCTCTGCCAGATTGCTATTTCCTCTCCTTATATCATGTGCATTATTATATTGGAGCATCATGCTTCATTTGTGTTTACAATCACAAACAAATGTGAAACCTTTTATCAAATTAATGAGTAGTGAACTATTGTTGCTGTTTAGTACAGAGGGATATTTATAGTTGTTTTTCCCCATGTCTGGGGGAAATGAAATCTCTTCCTCTCATTTAAAAAACAGTTAAGTAATATGAGAAATCACAAAATAGAAGAGTTTGTCAGCACAAAAGTACTCATTTCTTTTGACCATTGTTTGCTTCTTACTCCCCAATATATGAACAACAAACACAATGCATTCAGAACTTCCAAAATGTTGCTTACTTATTCAAACTCAGCAAAGAAAATAATAGACTAAAATTCTACCAAATTGGAATCGGGGGATTGGGAAAAGCAGTGATTGGGGAGAGTAAGCAAGCATTAAGTCAGCAAAAGATAAAATAGAGAAAGGGAGCGGGGGGAAAGCACACACACCTGTATAGAAAAGGGGAATATGTTAAACATTTTCTGCCCAGAATATTTTTTCTTCCAAATCCCAGTTGTATCCTTAGCCCCCCAAAAATTGAAATCCTGTTGTTTAATAGTGGATTCTGAAGGCAGGAATGACAAAGAGGATGTAGCCTTCTAATATTGCGAAGTTTGTAAAAACATCCTTGGCCATAGCTCCAGCCTTAGTCTTTATGCTAGCAGATCCATCAGCATTTATGGTGATGAGCGTCACACAGAAAATCAGATTATACTTTTCTCAGAAAAACTAAAGAATCAACATCCACAGAATCTTTGTTCCTAAATCCCTACCATCAAAAATAAGAAAAAATTGAGAAGCTGTACAAGATGCCAAAGAAAACTGTCATGACTACTTTTCTCAATAGCTATTGCCCTTTTATAACATTGTGAATGTAGCCCAGTTGACAACTTGCTTCCTGTTTTCTTAGCCTTTATCTGGCACTGTTCTCATGTATGAAACCTGTCCATATACAAGGTAAATGAAAAACTAGGAGAGATACCTGTCTGAACATAAATATATTCATGCAATAGAAGTGTTGTAGCAATAAATATGAACTGACATTTTTAGTAGTCAATTTAGAATATACATTTATAATCTGTTTTGATTATATGCCTGTTTTGCTGATACTATATTTATTTCTTACTGAAACCAGGTATGAATCTCCAGAAATTGCTCTGAATTGCGGAATCATGTTAAGAGAATGCATCAGACACGAACCACTGGCGAAAATAATCTTGTGGTCAGAACAATTTTATGACTTCTTCAGATACGTGGAAATGTCAACATTTGACATTGCTTCAGATGCATTTGCAACTTTCAAGGTTATTTAGTTTATATTTGACAACTATTAAAATTTTATATTATGACTTCCCCAATTCATTTTGGAAAATATATCAAACAATCACATCAGAGAGCTACAAAATAACATAGTTAAAATTACAGAAATAACTCCAGTATTAAAATGTACATAGGACCTTTTAAAAAAAGAAATAAGCGACAACATATGGCAATTCAGATGTTGAATTCCAGCAATATAATGATAAGGGTTAATGGGAATTACAACCTTGGTAATATTTGGAAGGCTGCAGGTTCCCCATCCCTGAATAAAAATCTCAGAACTGGTTATTATTGTATCATTTTTCTTGAAGGCAAAAGTATGCCTCAATTGAATTCTGTGGTTAATTATCCTGTGAATAATTAACAACTAAAGGAAAAAGAATATTGTTAATAACTCTGCTTTCGGGCATCCTGAAATTATAGGAAAGGAGAGGGAATATCTTTTAAATAACAGTGTCTTCTCTTATTTCAAGGATTTACTTACCAGGCACAAATTGCTGAGTGCAGAATTCTTGGAACAGCATTATGATAGGGTATGTGTTTTTATTTCTTCATTATAATTTCTGTCAACTATCAGAACTATCATCACATTATGAGAGAAAAAAAAGAATAAAACATTTCTTGTCCAGCTAAATATTTTTATTTTCAGCATTTTCTGATTCATTGTACCAATGCAAGTTGAACCTGGGATGTCTTCAGTGTTGGACAGGAAATTGTTGCAGTTATCTTAAAAATTCTAAGAATGAAATTGTTGTTGTAAAGAGCAAACAACACACCCTTACTATTTTGCCATTCCTGGTATGTTATGCTAATCAGAGAAATATGTATGACAGACTTGCTCCATCTACTGGCCACAGCTGAAGATAAAAATATAAAGCTGGCTGTTTATAATCTCAAGTATATGATTGCCTAAAGAGTTAACTGAAAACTCCTTTCAGTTAGCTGTAGAATATTTGTTCAGAAGTTTTGTATGTGTTGCAGAAGAAAAATGCTAGAAAAATTTAGAGCAGTCTCCTCCATATATCTAAATGTATTGGAATTCAGTTCCTATGATTCTCAGCCAGTTCTCTCATTGCTTTCTTTTTATCATTGTTTGAGCCAAATCATTTGGGAACATTGTGTTGATTAGAAAGGCCATAATTATTTTTTTTCCCATCCAGTTCTTCAGTGAATATGAAAAATTGCTCCACTCAGAAAACTATGTAACAAAACGACAGTCACTTAAGGTAAAAAAAAAATAATCATTGTGCAGTAATAAAAGAATGACCTAGTTATTCTGTTTGTCTACATTAAAATAAAATGCATCAATCAGGAGGATTCTGCACTTTAGGAAGCTTGTATGTTAAATGTGTAATTTGTCAATACCAATTCTATATGTTTTGCCAGTTAAATAATAACTAATGCTTTAAAGTTACATGTAATGTAGATCTCTCCTTTTTACTGTAAACACTATTCGTCTTTTTTATTGGAAGCTACGGTAGTAAAAAAAACTTTTTGCCATTTTGTCCCACCTTCCTTGCATCTCTGGTCTAATCTGGAAGAAGGCTTGCTTCCCATTTGCTCTTGTGCTTCCATTTAACAATTATCTGGTCCATGACCACATCCATTTTTTTCTGATTTTTGGAATTAAGCCAGATACTCATCAATTTAGGTGGCTGGTGTGGGTCTTCCGGGCTGTGTGGCCGTGGTCTTGAAGTTTTGTTT